GTGCACAAGTTCCTTTTCCCCACAGCAGCCTCCGCATAGGGGACGGAGCTCCAGCCTTCCTTCCAGAGTGTGGCCCGCCCTCAGGAGCATCTGTGACACCCCCTTCCTCTCACACCTGTACCCTCTGTCACCTAGCACACTCCCCCACCACCACCACCTGAGCTCCTTACAAGTTACTTTGCATGTGCTGTTCCCTGCCTGGAACTCTGGGGGCAGCTGCTCCCTCCCCTCTTCCCACCCCCAGGAGCTCAGCCACAGCGTCACACCCCTCCCCCAACACAGGCTCACCGCTCTCAGTTTTTGTCTCCACAGCACGTGTCACCTGGGTATTTATTTGTTTTAAAAAGTTCCCGTGTGCTCTGGGCAGAAGGCTCACTCCTGCTGGTCACTGCTGCACGTGCACCAGCACTGCCTTCAGGTAAATGGTGGCACTTAGTAAACTCAGTGACCAATGGGCAAACTGAAGCCGAGACCCTGGGGAGAAGGATCCCGCAGGGGCAGGTGTGGGGAGGTGGGGCAGGAGGTGCGGGGCCTGGGCGCCTTGACTTCTGCACAAGGGGCTCTGGGCACAGAGGGGCATGGAGGTTTGGAGGTACATCCTTAGCGCTGGGCTTCAGGAAGGGCACAAGCATGGCCCTGAGGAAGGTCCTGCTGGGACATCTGTGAGGCTACCTGATAATCACATGCCTGTCTCCAGAGCCAGGCTGGCGCCCCCAACACCCCAGCATAGAAAGCAGTACAGGGCAGGATGGGGACAACAGCAGTCACGGGCCAAGTGAAACCCAAGGGCCCCACCTCAAACCACACTCCACACCTGAGGTCCAGTGGGCTATGGCCAGTGGCCTCATGGTCTCGGGGGAATTCAACACGCAGAAAGCTTTAGCCAAAAAGCAAAAGCCTGAGATCTTCAACAAGAGGACAGTCAGGAACTTCTGTTCGCCCCCAGGGCAGCTGCGGGAAGTACTGGCCTCCTGTCCAGCCGAGCAGAGAGGAACCCGCCAGGAACAGCCAGGGCTCTGGTTGGCAAGTGCCTGCAGCTGCCACCGAGGAAGAAACCTCTGCTTTTTTCCCCTGGGGAGTTGGGATGCAGCTCAGGGCCTGGCCCGTGCTAACCAAGCGCTCCACGGCTGAGCCACACCCCAGCCACCAGGGAAGAAACCCCAACAGGCACCCAACAGGCAGGACCTGGAGGGAGCGTGGAATCAGTGCTCCGGAGTGCCCCTGCTGACAGTGACAGTGCATGTGTAGATCTGGTGGGACAGAGCCAGGCAGAAGAAATGTGGATATGAACCCTTGGCTCATCTTCCAAAGCTGGTAACGTGTGTGCCATGTGCCGCAGCAGTTCCACTCTGGGTGCACCTCAGGAATGCAGCACACACCCCAAAAACACTTGTGAGGGAATGGACACGTCAGCTTTGCTCACACTGGTCTAGGCTGGGAATCTCTAGCCTTGCACGGAGGAATAAATGGGCCAGCCTACCCCAGAGGTGCAGGCTGAGTGGTCCCACGCAGAGGAGGCACGAGGCCCGGCAAAAAAATTCAGTTTGGGTGTCTTCTCAGGTGACAAATCCATCAAGGAACGAACCATCACCAGGTGGGGGTCCTGGCGTTCTCTGGGAGCAGGGGCATTTGTATTTGGGGAGGGGTCCTAGGGGGAACCCCACGGAGCTGGCAGTGCTGGACTTCTTGACCTGGGTGGTGGTCACCAGGTGGTCACGGTAGTCTATGGCTAAACTGTAGCCATACCATTTTCTCTGAAGTCTGTCATGTTCAGAACTTGGAGAAGTTCTACTGTGAGGGGAGCTATGGAGCCCGTCGGGGACATCCCTGGGCCTCCTGAGCACCTTCTGCACACCTGGCCACCTGTCAGAGGTGACTGCAGAGGAGGAACTGAAGCTCAGAGCTGAGGGGCTGTCCCAAGGTGCCAGCAGGAGTCCAGGCAGAAGGGGCTTAATCCCAGGGATTACTGAGAGGCATGCCTGCCGGAGCAGGGAACAGTCCACTGCTCACTGCGTGGAGGAGGATAGCCGGCAGAGATGAGCGGGGGGTCAGGCCAGAGCCAAGGTGGCCAGGCCATCAGTGAGGTGGCTGCGCACCTGCCATGCATCATATGAGGCTGGGTAGTCCCCCTGTGTGTGTATCAGCCTGTGCCCAGCAGAAGTTGAGGGGTCTTCTGATCCAGGCTCTGCACTCAGGGGTGTCCTTGTGGGCGATGGGGAGGATGGAGGACCCTCCAGGTGGCACAGAGAGCCCCAGGATCTCCACTCCCCACCCATCCGTCTCCCTGAACACACCCTGCTTCCTCAAGCCCCCAGGCCCTTGTACGTCTCAGGAGGTGCCCCATCTGTCCTCCTCAAAAACCCCATCCATCCTGAGCCTTGGCTCAGGTGTCTCGGCTTCTGGGAATCCTTCCCCAACACCCCAGGCCAATCCCCCCTGGGAGGCTCTGTCACGGGCCTGTGTCCCCTGCTCATGGAAGTAGGCTGGCCTGGGTCTGGATGGCCAACCTGGAGCCAGCTGTGCAGACGGGGGCCAGTTCACTGGGGGGAGGGGCAAGCGAATCACAAAAGCCTCAGTTTGTCACATGGACAAAAAGATCTCTGAGGAAGGGTGTCCCAGGGAGAGGGGACACCATGGGCAAAGGCAGAGAAGCTTTGCAGTGGGATTGTCACATGTGGGAGTCAAGAAGAAGGGCCAGGCCAGGGGATCTAGGTGTACACGTGCTCATAAGGCAGCCAGTGAGGTCCATGACACCACCAGGTGGCAGAGTCCTTATGCTCATTCAACAAATATTTACCAGACCCTCAAGTGAGCCAGGCCCGGCTCCAGCTCCAGGGGGTCAAGGAGCGGATGGGGCCCGGGGCCTGTCCTCTCAGAGCATGATTCTAGTCCAAGACCCAGCCTGTGATGGGCACTTGCAGGCCAGAGGAAGGACTGGTGCTGGGTCATCCCACTGGCTACTGGAGACCCTTCACCTGGATTGCAAATCCCTCTTCTCTTGCTTGGGACACCAGCAGTCTAGTGGCCCCCAAGGATGCTCCACCAGGACCCCCGCCTGGATGAAGCACATCCATGTCACCTCCCAGCATCCCTGCACCCTGGGGCCCAGGGGGATCCCCAGTTCACAGCTGAAGAAACTGAGACCCAGAAAGGATCAGGACTTTATCAGAGAGGGGCTGGGCAGTGGGACCCCAAACCCAGTGACCTTCCCTGTGGGAGACATGTGGCCAACTTCCCTTAAGCCCTCCAGGCCTTCTGGTCTTGTACTCCTGGACCTCAGAATAGGACAGAAACTCATTAGAGCAACCTAGCCGCCTAGGAGGGGACAGTCTGGGAGGCCTCCAGGTTACTTGGGGATGACTCAGGTAAGAGCAAGAGGAGGGAGGGCAGGACCCCTTCCCAATTCTGGGAGGCTATGTGAGTCCTGGCCCCAAGACCCCTGCTAGCTCCAGAAGGTCATGTGGCCCAATGCAGCCCAAGGTCCCAGGTCCTGGCCACCAGCTCAGCCCAGGGGAGCCCTTGACAGCTCAGGCAGAGGATCTGACCCCTGGCTCACCTGCCCAGGTGTGTCGCCAACCAGGCCCAGTCAGATCCCTGTCCCTAGTGCCTGGCACAAAGAGGCAGGTGCCCAAGAGTCCTGGCTGAATATGGGGAAGGAGAGAAGGAGAAAGAAAACCATAGGGGGCTCCCTAGGCTGGCCTCAGGGTGCCCATGAACGCTGTGTCTTCCTTCAAGTGCTGGCTGAGTAGCCCCCCCCCACCCCAAAGCCCTACTCAGGTGAGGGTACTGGTGAATGACAGGTAATGTGGAGCCAGGGTTTGGACCTAAGGTCATCCATGTGACCACAGCCAGGGCTTCATTGCCCCCACTGGACCTTGGCTATGACAAGATAGGTGGGCTTGGCTGACTGACATCAGGTTTGGGGTCTGAGGTACTATCACCTAAGAGGCTGCCCCTCCTCCCAGCTCAGGACATGCTGATCCTGGTCCTATGGCCCTCCAGCTCAATGGCCCAAGAGATGACCAACCTGGGGCCTCTGTGAGCCCACCTGTCTCCCAGCTCCCACCTGGGTATTTTCAAGCCACTCATCCATAGCACTGAAGGTCATTAGGGAGGGCCCCAGCCCTGTCCCCTAGACCCAGGGGGCCAAGCCTGGGCTCTGCTGGAACCCTGCCCCTTAGGGACTGGATGCACCTGCTGGCTACAGTCCTCCCAATGGATGCCAATTCTGGCCTCCGGAGCGGCTGAGGGAGGCTAAGAGACCCTCCCGGCCAGGGGAGAAGGTGCTGAAACTCAGCAGCCAGAGCCAGGCCTGCCGCCCACACACGGTCTCGGCCGGGCTCCGGAAGGAAATCGCAGGAGGAGTGTTCCCAAAGTAGGGGTCAGGGTGGCCAGGGGAAGTCGCAGTGTTAGACGCGAATATTCAAATAGGCTGATCCCTGGACTGCTGCGAAAAGGAGCCGGTGGAGTCCACCGGGGCTCAGAGTTTAGCCCCAGGCAGCAGGACTCGAGGGGCGCTCCCCAGACGCTGTCGCGGGATTCCCCCAAAATGGCTCCAAGACGCGACTGCCTGGCCAGCCGCGAGGACTCCATCCCCCCACCCCGCCCCCACGAGGCGGAAACTTAAAAGCTCAAAACCAGGCAACTGTCAGCTGGGGGGCGAGGGACCGTGCCTAACAGCGGGAACAGAAACCCAGGGGTCCCGGGGGGGACGGGCGAGAGTCCCGGGCTGGGCGCTCGGGCCCCGGAGGCCGGCGCGGCCGGGCTGGGGGCGGCCGGCGCTCAGTGGCGCACCCCACCCCGGCCGCAGCGGCCGAGCCGGCCGAGCGGCCCCGCGCGGGGCTCCCCATTGTCTCTCCGCGCACACACGCACCCACACACGCACACCGGCCGGCCGCCCCGCCGACCCGGGCCCGCGGCTGCGCTGGGAGCCCCTCCCCCGCCCGCTCCCCTCCCGGCCCGGGCCCCGCGAGCCGCGGCGCGGAAGCCGCTCCACTCACCTGAGTTTCTCCATGTCTGCGGCAGAGGCCTGTGAGAAACCAAACGAGAGGGTCAGCAGGCAGGAGGCGTGCGCTCCGCGGCCGCGCCGGGCGGAGCCGGGCACAGCGGGCACAGCGGGGCGCGGCGGCGGGGCACCCCCGCGTGGCTCGGTCCGTGGGAAGCCCGGCCGCGCGCACTCCCGGCACGCACCCTCGGACTCGGCCCCCGTGACTCAGTGGGCGCTCCGGGCCGCGGCCGAGTAACAGGTGAGCCCGCCCGGGCCGCCGCGCTCCCCGGCACCGAGTTACGCCCCCCGGGGCGAGGAGGGGACCGGCCTGGGGACGCGGGATGCTACGGCCTCGGGCGCTCCCGGCCTCGCCCGGAGGAGGGGACCCGGCCGGTCCCCGCTAACTCCGGGCGGCTGCGGGCCCCTCCGCTCCCCCGTCCCGCCCGTTAACCCTTCCAGCCCCGCGCTCCCTCCCGAGAAAGCCGAGCCCGGCGTCGCAGAATCTGAGTCCCAGAATGTTTGAATCGGGGAATTGGGGCCGCACGGGATTGCAGCGCCCGACACTCACTCGGTCCGAGGGTGATGGCAAGCGGAGCCCTGGACTTCTCTGTCAGGGACCCCAGTGCCCTCAGATTCTGGGGTTCCGGGCCTGGCTCGCCCCTCCCGGGCCCGAGGGATTAACCCTTGCGCTCCCCGCTCGCCGGTGGGGCTCCCTGCCGGGCTTGCGCAGACCCGCCCGCGCGCGGCTTGGAGACCCTCCTCGCCCGGCCCCGCGCAGCCGGGCAGCCCCTCCGCGCACCGGGCGGAGAGACCCACCCGCCGCCGTTAACCCCCTGGGCTCCGGCAAGCGACGGGGACCGCGAGCGGCCCGGGCGGGATCGCACTTCCTGCGCGGAGCTGGGGGCGCGGGGCGGGCTCTCCCCCGCCCGGGAGCGGCCTCTCCCGGGGGCTTTCCCTGTCTTTCCGTGCTGTGGAGGACCAGGATCTGAGCCCAGGGACCACGCGACAGACCTGGGAAGACTGATGACTGCCCATCCCGGCCCCTCGCGCCGGGCGCCGCCGCCGCGTCCGCCGGGAGCGCGCTCCGCTCGGTCCGGGCCCCACGCCGCCTCCCCCACCGCCCCGCCGGGCGAGGGCGCAGCCCGGCCCCGGGGCCTCGGCCACCAACTTCCCGGACGCTCAAGCAGGCCTCCCCCGGCCTCAGTTTCCTCACCTGAAAGCTGGGGGGAGGGGAGGCGGGAGGAAGCCGGACCAGAGGCGCTCTGCTGCCCTTCAGCACAGGCGGGCTGCGGAGGGGCTGGGGTGGGGGAGGGAATTTCAGGGGAAAGGGTCCCCAAGGCGCCGGGATGGAGGCTTCCCTCCCTGGACACTCTAAAAGTTGTCCAAGACCACGAGCCCGGACCCCTTCTATAAACCCTCCTCCTTCAAGAACGAAGAGTTCTCCAGGAAGAGTTTGCCAACGGCCCACACGTCCCCCACGCCCATCTTCCCCAGGCCCACCTGTCCTGGTCCCCATCACAGCCATCATCGCAGTGGGTCCCAGCATACAGCAGGCGCTCAATAAACACGGACAGTGCATGCCTGGGTCCTACAGTATAGAAGCCGTGCCTTCTCCAGTCTTTCCCCCTTGCTGGCTCTGAGCTCCTGGGCAGGAGCCCCGCGCTCTCACCAGGACACTCCGGCACCCAGCAGGCTTGGCCTCCGCCAGCGCAGGGTGGGAGGAGCCGTCCCTTCGGAGGGTCAGACCTGAATCAGGATCAACCAAACCCCCAAGTCCAAGTGTTCATGCGTCCACCAACCAACAGCTGGCCGCTGGTTCAGCAGCTCCGGCTAAGGTCTCCCACCAGGGAGGAGGCAGCAAATGAGGTGAGCCCGACTCTCCAGGGCTAATGGCGGAGGTGCACCCCCACTCTCAGTTCTGGGAGTCCACCCTCAGAGAACCGCAGCGGTCACACCACAGGGCCCTAGCACCTCCGCTGACCCCTCCTCAGCAACTGCACGCGGAAGCGGCCTTCCCCATTTCACAGATAAAGAAATCGAAGCTCAGAGGCAAGGGGAGCCGCGGGAGGCCCCGCGGCCGAAGGGGCCCTACTGGGCCTGGCCCCATTCCTGGAAGAGGTTTCCTCCCAAAGGCTGGGACATCCCTAGATGTCTCCGGATGCCTCAATCACTCACAGCCAGCGACCTGCCAGGGAGCTTGTCTAAAATTAATACGAATGTATTAAAATTTAATTTTTAAGAATCCAGCATTAATTATTTACATCAAATATTTCCGTACTTCTAGAAGGGGAAACCCCCTCCCCCTCCCCACCACAAAGAAATTCGATTGAACTGGGGAAGAGGCAAGGGGAGGCTGCGGATGTCCCTGGTGGCAGAGGTGCAGGGGACCTTGCCTTTCACTCTATTACAGACTCGGACTTTGATCCTCCACTGACTCCTCAAATTCTCCAACCTCAGGGCTGGCCGTTGAGGGCCCTTGCTCTTGAAGGCCACCTCCTCCATGCAGCCCTGGGGGGGGGGACCCAGTCATTGGTAAAGCCCCACACCAGGTGGGACACGGCCTTTGTCTTTCCTGCTCTGTCTGGGACCAGCCTGACACTGAGTGGGGGGAGGAGAGCAGCCAGGCTGGCCCTGCAGGGAGGTCTGTGCCCTCAGCTTCACTAGCCACAGGACTCTGCAGTGTTCCCATGGTGCCGTTGGGCTGGATGAGCAAACTGTGCAGTAGCCTGCCCAGCGGCACCCAAGTTGGCTGAGACCTGCCCGATTTCCTGTGCAGGGAAACTGGATACTCCCTGCACAGGAGGGTGGGCTGGGTGGGACTGTGAGACCCTGTGCCCATGGGACATCCAGGGTTCACTTGGTGAAATGATGGCATGGGACTGACTCCCTTTAGGGCAGGTGAATGGCATGTCCTCCTGACACAGGTGGGCACCCTGGGTGCTCTCAGGCTCTGTCAGCCCTGCCTCTGGGCACTGTCATGCCAGCCCACTGCACATGCCCCGCCTCTTCCTTGTCTGTCCACCCTAGACTTCCCTCATCCCCTCTGGGTGGGCCAGGCCAGCAGCCACCTTTATTTCACATAAGCCCACCCTGTTGGCCAAACCAGCCTGAGCCCCATGCCCCTTTCTCAGGCTCCTATGGCCTTGGCCCCACCCCTGCCTCCTGCTCCCTCTCCTCTCTCCTTATCCCCCATTTTACAGATGCAAACACAGAGGCTTGAGAGGTGACACTGGCAGCTGATCTGCAGGAGCACAGAGATCTGGGGCCAGGGCTCTCGTCAGCTTCCCACAGCCACCACCTTCCCTGGGCCCCGGGATTGCACATACTAGGTGACAGAGGAGGAGCCTCCACGCCTGCAGCGGGTCCCCAGGGGGGCTGTGAACACTGTCCTGGTCCTTCTTGACACGACGCCAGCCCCCACCACCGGCCCCTCCCTCAGCACTCAGCAGCCACCCTGGCTACCTCGCTGTTGCCGGGTAACCCAGCTCCTCCCGGCCTCAGGGCTCTGCACTTCTTCCTTCCTTCTGGAATGCTCGGCGGGCTTTGCTAGGCTGGTGGCTTCCTTCTCTGACCACACACTCACTGACAGCAGGGCCCCTGTCGTGGCCTGAGTCTCCACGGGCCAGGGTTGGCTCCAAGGGTCTCTGGGGTGCAGGTCAGGCAGCCGGAATGAACAGAGACACTTCTGACCACAGCCTGCTCTCAGGACTCTTGTCAAGCCCCACCTGGTGCCAGAGGGCCCAAGACCCTGGGTGCCCAGCGCAGCATCTGCACAGAGCTGGGCCTGGGGACACCCCACAACTGCGAATGTGGGTCAGTCCCATGCCCGCCAGCACACACACGAATCCTCTACTGGACCAGCTGGCCCACAGCACCGCTGCCCGTCCTGCCTGCGCCTGTAACTATGGAGCAAAGGAGCTCAAGTCCACGTCTGGGAGGGGCTTTGCCTCCCACCTGCTGTGTGACCTGGTCCTCATCCCCCCTCAGGGCCTGGACTGTCAGACCCTCACCCCAGTGCTTAGCCCCTCGAACCTCCTTACACCCACACTGGCTCCACGCCCTCTGCTCTCCGAAGCCACCTTCAGTGGAGGACGGACGGAGATGAGCCTGGGCCTGGGGACCCTGCTTCTCACTGACTGCAACACGGGCATCTCATGCAGCTGAGGGCCTCGGGCCAGGCTCTCAGCCTCTGTGAACCACAATCCTTCATCTAGGAAGGAAGGAAGGATGGCAGATTCTCAAGGGATGCTGTGAACAACAGGGGACTGTGTGCATGGGGCTGTGCTCAGGATGGGCCAGGGAAGGCGGCAGCCCTGAGGAGCTCCTCATTAGAGAGGACTTCTTTCTAAGGTGCTCTTCTCTACTTCCTGCTTTCTTGCATTCATTCAACTAACAATGCTGTGTGCTGAGCCTTGCTGTCAGGGACAGTGAAAAGACTCCATGAAATCTCCTGTCTTCACCGGGCTGAAGTCCTAATGCAGGGACCCAAACTCCACCCAGGAAGTCTGCAAACTGCCCCCCACCCATGTGTCCCATGGGGAAAGTCTCATGAGAAAGATGGGTGATGGGGCGGCCAGGTCACAATTAGAACAAGGAGACCAGAGTGAAAGGCCAGTGAGCCTGGGCAGGGCAGCCCCAGGGCAGGGTGGGTAGTGGTGGGGGAGGCACTGGGGTCCCCACTGCTTAGAGGTGATGCAGAAACAGAACCCCGGAGGAGGTCACCAAGGCTTTTGGCCTGAGCAGATGGAAGGAGGGTAGGACAGAAAGTGGGATTCAGGTCTGGGGTGTCCAGGGGGAGACATCTGTCAGAGGATGGGTAGGTGGTGTGGAGAGGGTCTGGAGTGGTCAGACCAGCGGGAGTTACAGCCAAAAAGCCACAGCAGAGTTCGCTGGAGGGGAGAGGGAAGGTCCAGGAGGGTCCTGGGCTCTGCCACAGCAGGGTGCAGGGAGAGGGGGGTGAAGCCAGCCAAGCAGCCCTGAGGGAGCAGGGGGAGGTAAGGGGCAGTGTATGGGGGTTGTTTCCAGGAAGGCAGAGGATAGGCTCCAGGGAATCCCAACCGGGCGTAGCCTGGGATCCTAAAGTGATCCATGGGGGAGGGGTGAACACGGGTCAAGGTCACCTAGCAAGCTGGGGACCTAAATTCAGGCCCTGGCCTGGCTCCTTCCTCTCAGAAGGAGCCAACAGTGTTCTCCTGGGGATTCCAGGGGACCTGGCTGCAGAGGCGACTCTGCCTCTTGTCCTGTGGGACTTCTGACAGGGCCTCCCCCTTCCCAGCTGTGCGCCCCGCAGACGGACGGATGGATGGACGACGGATGGGGCCAGCGGCTGCAAACTGGCCTCCCTGAGCTAAATCTGTGCCACCAGCATGTTGTATCTGGCCTGCGCAAGGTTTCTTTCTTTCCTCTTTCCTCTTTTTTAAACATTTGAGCCAACTTTAAAAATTGGGAGAGTTTACATTTTAAAATCCATATTTTTGGCTTCTACTGAAAAATTTGGAAGATCTGGCAACTCCATCCCACATTCCCACGTGGCAACAGACAGGGAGCTGGGAAGCGCTGCCCCTTCCAGAGGCACCCGGGGCCCCCTGTGCAGGAGGGGTCCACCCAGGCCTAAGCCTGCCCTCTTTATTGGAAGATCAAGGCCAGAAGGGTGCAGTGACCTGTTCAAGGTCACTCAGCAGGACCTCTAGGACAGGACCCCAGGCAGCCTGTCACAGCCCCACCCCGGCCATGACCCTGGACCTGGGCCTCCTGCTCTCTCCTTGACCCTGTTGTTCTCAGGGGAGGCTGGAATAAGTCATTCCTGAGCCTCAGTCCCAAGTCCAAGACCGCGGGCTCCCAGAGACCTTGGACAGTGACTTCTTGCTTGCTGGACAATGAAAGGAACTTCCCCTGGCCACTCGCCCAGACTGAAAGCCAGGGCCCTCCGCTGGTCAGTGGCTTCCTCCTGGCTAATGATGGCACGCCAGGCACCGTCTCAGAAAGGGCTTTGGGGCCAGCTTCAGCCTTCTGAGCCTCAGCTCCAACTCCGTAAAGTGGGCCCCTACCTCGCTCTTGGTCTGCTGCGTCTGATCCGAGGGTGGGGCTGAGCTGGAGCCCACTGTGAGTGGGACTGGGGGTGGGGCAGGGCTGGGTGCAGAGGGAGCCAGGCCGGGCGCCTCCAGGAACAGGCAAGACCCAGCCCTGTCTGCTGTGGCCAATGCCCACTGCTCGCTTCAAGGAGCAAATGCCAGCTCCTCCCTGGGACACTGATGGCCTGGTCCTGGAAGCTGCCCCCACCCGATACTCACTGGTGGCCCTGACAAGTCCCCGAGGGCCTGTGCTGCTCGGCAGTCCCTACAGGCAAGTGTGAGCAGCCTTGGGGTAGAATCCTCCAGGGGCCCTGACTGCACTGGAGTCCCCTGAGGCCCGATGGTCCCCGGTCCCCAGAGGGAAGGCTGCCTGGTATGGGAACTGCCACGGCTGGTGGGGATCCCAGACTGCCAGCCCCTCATGGAGGAGGCTGGGGAAACGATCCTGCGTGGTCACTGCTAGGAACCCCGGAGGGGGACACCAAGGCTTTGGGCCTGAGCAGATGGAAGGAAAACGGAGGGCCAGAGAGTCACACAGTGGGCAGCAGGGCCTTGAGTGAGGCTCTCCCCAGACATCCCAGGTGGCCCCCCACGGAAGACTCAGGGCAGAGCTCAACACCACCACCTGCTGCTGTCCCT